CACTTCCTAGCAATTTTGGCACATCTAGAATGATCTTTAGTCTTCAGTGCAGCTCCAAAGAACTTTTATCTACTTTTTCTTCTGACCAGTTCTATAAGTCTACCTGAGGTACCAACTTGAGCACATAACAGCAGTCCTAAGTGCCTCTAAATTACCTTCAGAAAATACCTGAGATGCCTCTCTTCCATTTACATGCCTGATTAAGTGCTTATTTGCTATGTAGAGCAAAGCTTTTGCTTTGAAAGTTCTGTTTACTTAACAATTATCTTTTTGAAATAGAGCAAAGCGAGACATTTCTACTCTGGTATTTCCAAATCCCTCCTTGGCAATGTTAATCAATCCAAAACCCTTTTTCTCCTTTAAATAGAAGGCAGAATATATGAATGCAACAAATCAGGGTTGTTTTTGTGTTTTTTTTACTTTATGTTGTCATTCGAGGAGTCTCTGAATTTCTCTTCTGTAATACGAAGACACTGACCCCAGGCCAGCTTAGCAACTCTGCTCTACTCCAATGAGACAAAACTGGATTGCTGATAGGCTCTGTATAAAAGCAATTCCCAGATGATCAGGGGCAGCTTCTGTGGCTACAACATATTCCCCTTTCCCAAAGACTTGGCATAAGCAGTTCTCTGGGAGAAAGTGGATATGTTTCTGTCAAATTCATCACAAAGTTGTGGTTAAGCAGTTGGCCATGGCTGAACATAGTGGTTCTTTAATTTGTCTAAATAAAAAGTCCTTTTCTTTGCCCACTCTTTCTTATGTAAAAAAACTTTTATTAGTTGTGTTAATCTTCCTCTTACCAAACTCTCACTTCCTTGTGATTTGAAGTGTATCTCATTGTTAACTGGTATTTATATAAATAACAATAAATCAGTTAGAGACTGATCTCAGACAAGATCACAACTGAGATTTAAAACTCAAAATTATATAACTCAGAGCAGAATCCAATGTTTCAATCTCTTCTATCCAAAATGATATAAATCTCTCATGAATGTGGCTAAAATTCTGCAACGTAGAGACAGCTCCAGTTCTTTCCTGTCTCTTCCTAGCTGTCTTCTTGGCCTTAATCTCATTGCTTTAATTTTCTCACATTCCATTTCTCCATCTTTAAAATGGTGTTAAACTTTACACCTTTGTTAAGTAGTGTGAGATAAACCAGTTAAATATTTCAGTAGTGCCTGAGTTTTATTAGTATGTGGCTGGTATTGATTTCATTTTATGCAAATATTCTTTCATATTATATGAGATGTGCATGGTAAATGTTGAGTCATGGCCTGAGCCACTGATAGAGCACTCAGGGAAAAGAACTGGTCAGCCCTGAGAGCACAGGTGAAGACAATTCACATGCATGACCAGAAGGGGTGGAGCTTGGCTGCACCTCTCTTAGGCCCCATTTAGTGGCTGACTGTCACTAAGGAAGGGACTCTTTCTGAAGGTCTTTCCTTAGTGAAGCTTTCCCTTACAAACCTAGAATCTTCTGATACAGGTGAGCAATTTTCTCTTCCTTTATAGCATCTTTGTATCATGCTAGTCTTTCTGTTGTCACTCCTTTGTTGTTAATGCCTTTCCCATCATACTGTTCTGTCCAATTGCTACAGGATGCTTTAGTAATCCAATCAGGATTTCAGTGCAAGGAAAAAGTCACCAGCTGAAGGGCTTAAATGGATAAGGATGGGCTTTGACCCAGTGAGAAGTGGGTAATTTATGAAATAAAACCATTCTGTGTTGTAGTTTTACTTGATAGTGGATTTATGTATGAGTCATAAAACATATTTGATACAAGATGACTACTTGCTTTCTGTTTTTATTAAAAAAAAACAAACAAACAAGCAACAATTGTATGTGCTCTTTGGCTATGCCCAGCTGTAGAACCCACCTGCCTGTGCTGTCATATTATGCTGCCCATTGCAGTATTCTGCCAGACAACCTCTAAGTATAATTTAGGAGTCAACATAGGCTAGTGACCACTTCCAGTAGTGGTTTGCATATAGCCACTGACTTGGAAGGGCAGAGAGAGGCATTAGCAGTGCTGATAGGATGAGGCCATGCCAGTTGGCTCAAGGCCTGGAGAATGTACTACAGCACTGTGCAGTAGGAAAGAGAAAGGAAGTGACTAAAATCTGCTATTGGTGCAAACTTTTGTTTAGAAAGATCTTGGGTTTTTTTTTTTTTTTTTTTTTTTTTTTTTTTTAAATCTGAATGTATTCACTCATTTTTTTGTGGGTGGCGTCATTTTTGAGCTGTGAGTGCCATTGATACTCAGTTCTAAAGTCAGGATTTAGCTTCTTTTTAATTGACTTACTAAATAGGCAGAAGGAAATCATGTTTCAGGAAATCAGAGGATTATATTAAAAGTTTCGTACTGAAAGCATTTTTTACCTCTATTGTGCCTTATGCATAAAAGCTTTTAAGGCAATTGTACAAATATTCTAAATTAAATATTACAAGCTTAACATGAGATGCTGATAACAGCGTTTTGTATCCTGAAGCCTGCAATGAAGGAAAATATGAAGGCAAGTGCTGACTTCAGCTTGGCTGGATCTAAGCTTTTAGATGTTTCAGCTGTAGGTCCAAGCGTCTCAGGATCCATTTTCAGTGCTGGAATATTTGTATACGTGATTCTACCTCTCATGTGCAAGATAACAGTTTTTGAGTACCGAGAATATCCAAAGGTTCAATGTCCCTAGCCTGAGAAGAGTTGGGTGGCTGACCATAGTTGACCTGCACTGACTTTCAGCAGTGTAGAAAGGCGCAAGTTGCTGTGCTTAGAGAATTCCCATAACCTTGCTTGAGTCTGTTTTTCATCAGAGGAAAGCATGTGGCAGGTTACTGTTTAGAACCAAGCACGTTACCAGCAGCAGTTTTTGTAGGATGCTTCTCCTGAACTATTAAAGGTATTAAGGAAAGCACAATGCATTACAATCCAGATGCTCTCAGGATAGAAGAATGACTGAAAATGCAGGCAGATATCAGAGTTAAAAACCCTTTTCTCTCTTTCTTTCCTTGTAAGCAATGTGATTATCTGCACAGATCTGCTTAAGAAATACATAATTGGCCAGGCACCAGCTGACAATTTGCTGGTGTTCAGTTTTAAAATGTGACTGTATTCTGAACCTCTGGCATAGCTTTTTTCTTTTTTCTTTTTTTAAGTCATGAATGAAATCAATTAACTTGTTTTTCATTGTTTAAACTAATCTAAGTACTTTTTGAATCCCCTGGTAACTGCTCTACCTCCTGCACTGTATTTCCAGTGGGGAAATCTGCTATTCCCAAGCTGTAACACAATCACATTGACTTGCTTTTCCTCGGTGCTAAAAATTCAGGCTAATTGTGCAGCGCTCAATTTCAGTGCTTTCAGTGCTCTAAGTCTACCTTAAAGGGGCTTGTTTGAACATTCCAATCCCAGTGTGAAGAGCAGCCAACCAACGCACACTGCTTCATTTTGGCAAAGCTACAGATAAAGCTTTTGTGTCATTCTTAAGATAACACTCTTTGTACACAGGTGTCCCATCAAGTTACTTATTTACAAGTTACAACATTCCCTTAAGTCCTCTACTGCATACCAGTGTGTACAGAAACACACACGTACATTAAGAAGCAGAGAGGTAAGGAAGACTGATATTCTGTCCATAAGGGGCATCCTGGGCTTGTAACACTCCATTCTTACAAGTCCAACCAGCTTGACTGATCTTTGCTAGGAATCAGAAGTTCCAGGACAGCCATATCATGCACAAGCAGAATTATCTACTGAAGTATAGCTGAGATCTTTTATGCAGGAAGACAATTGTTAATGAACTGATCAGATTTTCAGTTCATTTAACGTGTAAAGTATTTGCATGATAAAACATCATGCATTTCACTGTCATTCTTATGCTTAGCAGAGAATGTGCTATGCAGAATTAATGAAAGAAATTATATTATGTTCTCTGCAATGTTTATTCTATGTACTATCACCATGTTATTTGATTATTCTGATCAGTTTAAGCCTGACTGTCACAACACTCATGCAAAGAAAGGGCAGATGTTTCAGAAATATAATGGTAGTATTTTATCTGTTGTGCACAAAATTATGGACAACATTTTAAATTGCCTTGTGAACTCAGAATACCTTCAGCTTAAGAATATATTTGTTAGCTCAGAATTTCAGGACTTGAGACTTGCTTGTTTTTCTAGTAAGCAGAGTAACTTCCAAGGTAAATGTGTTCCTTTTGAAATTAGATTTTGCGTGCATATAGATAGTCTTAGTTGTCTAATAAACAGCTTTTTGTTTAGGAACTAAAGACTGGCAACTACTATCTGCTGTTAGTATTGCTTCAACTGAAATAAGGATGTGCAAAATTGCATGTGTATACAATCACCTGTCTCAGAGGGCTTGATGACAGATAGATGTCTTTACACAGACTTGAATTCATCTGCAACCAGTAACACAGAAAAGATAATCTGAGTAGCAAAAGTGAATTGGTTTACATTTTCAACCAATTGCTTGAGAGCTAATCTTGATCTTCTAGAATTTGCTGGCAAAATTCACGCAAACATCAGCTGTGTGGGAACAGCCCCTTGTATCAACAAGAACTGAATCTACATGGAGATGTCAGTTACTGGCCCACCTGCCAGTCCTGCATAAGAAAACATGAATAACCTGAGTCTCATTCAGTGTTTGTACTTGTGGCCCCAGGAAGAGTCAGGCTATATGACACAAGATTCAGCAGCCAATTACTGCTTTATGCTTACTGAGTAATTCATTGAAAAATGGACAATAGAAGAAGAGTGCTTAATGCTTTACGCAATTCTGAAAATTTGACTAAGATGTGTGACTGAACCAAGCAGAAGCTTGGCACTAAATCTGCTTATTAGTATTGACACTCGCACACACACACACACACACACACACACACACACACATATGTATTTAAGAGGAAGAAGCTCTAAGAGCTCTAAAGAGCTGGAATATTTTGACTTGAAAATTGGCAATTGAGATTGTCTGGGGGGTGGACAGAGGTAGGAACTGTTTTATTGAGCAGATGAGAATTCTGAATGCAGCAGGAAACATAACTGACAAAGCTTTCCAAAAATGCCGGCGCTGATATTAAATATATGCCTCATTCCATTTGAGTAATAAGAGTCCTGTGAGTTAAATTTATTTCTCACTGTGGTGAAAAACATGTCCCACACACATGTGATGTGGCACTGGGAGAAAAAGGAGACAAACTTGGGGGGGAAGTGCTGCCAGTACTGCCAACTCTGAGCTCACAGCTCAGCCCCTCCCTGCCCCAGGCAAGGGAAATCTCAAGAAACTGGTATTATATTACAGAATATTAGAACTGAAATCTTTATAGTCACAGGACAAGTCCATCAGTTTCTCCATAAGTGCAAGGTCCATCTTCTAGAGCCTTCCTGACCCTTTGTAGGTTCTGGATGAAACCATAACTGGAAGGGACAGCATCGCCTTGATTCTTACACGGTAGTCTTTTATGATCTATTACTTTTTAAAATGAAATATGGGGAAAGAAACCATCAGACATTTCTGTGAGGACAGTATACTTGCTGTTATGTTTCCCCACTCTTGGCAGATGACAAAGGCATTGAATGTCAATAATTAGAACATATGGGCAAATTTTTTTTTTACCCCTTCCACTCCCAGATGCTCACTTTTTCTTGTGGCAAAGTATGGCTTCAGCATTTGATCGCTTCTAGTCACCTCTCCCATCCCTTTGATGAAATTAGTTGCATATGTAGGTTTGTGTTTGTATGTTTCTTAATTTCAGATAAGATCTGAAACTGTATTTCAAACAAGAGGAACATACGTGGGCACAGTTAATTACTTTTTATTAATGTCTTTTTCTACAAACTTCTCACAGAGCAGAGCGCTGGTCTCCACTTTTTTTTTTTTTTTTTTTTTTTGACTGTTCATGTATATTGCTTAGCTTTTTTATATATTGATTTCTGGTAGCTCAGCCTCTTCTGTAGGAAACAAAAGGATCGTAAACGGAAAAAAAAAATAAGGAAAAAATATACAAATGACATAAAGAAAATAGCAATGGGCAAATATGATTCCACACCATTTCCTGATTTGTAGTATATGACAGAGTAATGGACTTCATACCATAAGGGTGTTACAACTCTAACAAAAAAAATAGGGTATTATTGAAGGGTCATTTCAGATCTTGATCCTAATGATGGCAGATCCAAAATAGCAGAACATGAAAATGGTGTAAAAAAATTTACTTAGGTGTTTTACAGGAATAGTCTGCACTATATGATTACATGGCTTTATTAGAGAAAGCTTTCTCATGCAAATAGTCTGATGGAAGTCTCGGCCTATTTAGGATACTATCTTATTTAGGATACTAAATTAGTAATATATTGCAGAGGAAGTATGTCTGAAGTAGAAATCTTCAATGAAACTGTTAGGAAAATATCAAATTTTCACTAATTCCAGTTTTTGTATAAGAATTACAGGTCGCATTTGTTTGAAAGAACGTGTGGTATGCGTGAAAGAATGATTCATAGAAGGGTGGAAAAAGAAGAGAGGAAGAGAATGCAAAATCAGTGCGAAGTGAGCTCAGGAACAACTTTGAAATCTAAAAAGATGGATTTCAAGTAAATATGAATAAGAGTAGAAGTTACCTCCTGTGTATTGGATCTTTCCTTGAAATGTTTTCTGTGGATGGGGCGATCAGGAAAGGGATATATTTTAAATGCTAGTCACACTTTGTTAGGTGCAGTCTGAGAAGCACGTAATACGGGAAGAGCTTCTACATGAATAACTACATAATTACTCAGTCTCATGTTTAAAAATTTAATATTAAAAATAGATTATTTCAAGTCAGAGAAAACCATTTCATCTTAGAGCTGTTCATCATGTTGGTTGATGCATATTGAAACTCCTGCTCCCTGCGTACAGTTTGATACTAGCTACTGCATTTTTCAGCTGGTGATTATTCAGTCAACAATGAGAAGAGAGCTATTATCTATTATCAGGATGGCAGTGATGTGATAGTAACAATTCTGCTCAGAAAGATTCAAGGATTCATCCAAAATCATGGAATAGGGTATCCTGATCTGAAGGTGCCACAGAAAGGCGCCACCTTCAGAGTCTTTGTGGATTTTGTGCTGAAATAGGATTTATTTGTGATCATACAGCAAAGGCAGTGTTCTCAGAACTGTTTCTAAGAATAGCAGGATGAATTCTTCAGCTGTTCTGAGTAATTTCAGAGCAGCATATATTGTGTGTTTCTCTATCCCATGAGAGCCTTTTGATCGTGAAAATACATAATTTTACATCAGTGATTTTTGGATTCTTTTTTTCATTCATATTAGCTTGACTTGCTGGAGAAATTTACTTTGCTGCACAGTGTTTGAAGAATCTCTGTGGAATTTGGAAAGCAATAGATGCATCAGCTTTAGAACTTCACATTTCTTCACCTTAACTCTGAGCAAATGACAAAAGACTGTGAAAAACTAAGTGGTAGACTTGAAAATGAAGAATCTGAGAGAAACAGCGAAGCATCTGAACCACAAGAGAACTGTCCTCAGAAGATTCATTATGATGCTGTCAAAGCTTACTGCATGTGTTTCAATTGATATAAGTAATCACTAGCATCTTTATGAGCAGTGAAGTATAGTTATGGCCAGCATGGGAGATGGCAATGATATGGCAGATTGGGTTATTCCATAGTAAATGTCAGCTGTCACCAGTCCTGAAAGCCATTGATTGGCTCTATTACTAATGGGAGATAAAACAAAAATCAACATTATTGACATTATAGGAGGAAGGAAAAAGAGTGGTGGAAAGATTAAAGAACAAAGGAAAAGCAATCTGATCTATCTGAATCTAAGTGAATCCGGCTGAAATGTCCAGAGGTTTCGTCAACAGGAGAGGCTGCTGCTTTTACATTCCGCAGCTCTTGTTTGTCCCAGGGTCAGATAGCTTCAGGACTGCCTTAACTAATACCTGGAACACAAGGCTGATGGAGTAGTTTGGTTAGCAAATAATTGTGAAAGTATAAATTTCATGTAACAATGTATCTCCTGTGATAACGTCCCTTGCACTGTTGGCTAGGCAAGAGATCTCAAGAAGCCTATCTTCAAAAAGCAAAATTGAAGATTTACAAGCAAACACATGCATATTTGGCAGTATGAATATTTGTTTTAAAGTTCAGAAATAGAAAAAATGGCATAAAATATTTTGACAAATATTTATCTTATGAAGCCATTTAAACCACGACATACCACATCAACACATCTCTGATGGCTTCAGCAGGAACACAAGCTGAATGTGCTGAATGACTGTTTTGCTTAACTGCTCATGCCAGAAGATAAATGTACTTTCTTTTTCTGTTTTGAAACTTGAACTATACTTACAGGAGTGCTGCTCAGATTGTTATCAGTTTGAATACAGGTAATTACTAGGTTCATTCAGGAGGGCACAGCAGCAAGCAGACAATATCTCAAGACTTCATTGGCAGGAATCTAAAAAGACAGGAGTTTGAAGAACATCCTCAGAACTTATTTTCCATTGGACAGCCTCTTGCAGCTCTTTATGTAGTCCCTGTCCTGTAAATAGCAAGATTCTTTGTTGTCAGGTAATTGAAGAAAGCAATGGTTATTTTATTAGCACTCTTTCACTGGGTTTATTGGAATTCTATATACAATATGTCAATCAGCTGCTGTTTCCTTTGACTTCCAAGGAAGTTTTGCTCTTTGATTTTCTCTTGAGGCTCTTAAAACTTCTTAATTTCCCAAAATACTTTGCTAACCCACTGTTAGTATTCTTACTCTTATTATTCTTAATTGTTTCATAGCCAGTCAAGATAATTAACAGTTCCTAGCAATCTCAGATATGTAATATTTTCAGGTATATATATTCTCTACTAACTGCAGGAGAATAACGTGTGGTTGACGTATTAGATGGAAATCAAGACGTCTGGAATCAATTCATGTTCTTACCACGGAGACTTGGTGCAACCTTGGGCAAATCACAGCAGGAAAAAATATACAACACAAATCTTTAGGCATATGATCTAGATACTTCAGCAATAATCTAGTCTCCCAGTGCATTTCCTGTGAGCTATAGATAGGGAATCATGTTAGTGCCTCCTTTTTCTTTCTGCAAAAGCTATCAGGCTTCCGTTCTTTGATTCCTTGCTATGTGTATATTCAAAGCTAGCTCAGCGAGATCCTTGAGCCCTGTAGCCGAGTTGACTCTAGCAGTATCAAAGACTGACCAGTAGGTATAATTCTATGGAAGAAAAGCAGCTGAGAAAGTTTATTACTTTATAAATGCTTCCTTTTTAATATGCTCATGCATATGTATATCTGTGTATGTACTTGTGCATATGTGCATGACTACACATGTATTTGTGAATGGCTGTATAGGTGTATGAAAGATTAAAAACAAGGCACTATGCAGATATAAGGAGATTAATTAAGCAACAGAAGAATTCCACAAAAAACACAGAGCATAATTCCCACTAAGTGTTCTGCCTTATACTTGCCTATATTCTCCATCTAGAATGAGTAAGTGGAAACACTTCATCAGCATCCCAGATTACAAGAGGAGCAGAATGCTTATCAACTGCCACGCATTTCATAAAGGGGAAGAAGCTGTTTGCTGTAGTGAAAATCAGATGAGGCTGAAGAGAAGCAATCCTGTCTCTTACTCCCACACCTGCACAGTTCAGCTATGCCGAAGCACTTTAGTCAGTCTCAGAAAATCAAGAATATAATTTTAAATCCTATTGTCCTCTTGCACAAAGGGGAGATCCAGGGCTTTCATACCATACACGTTGCTGCTTGACGGAAAGAACTAAAAATAGCTTCTAAAACCTGATTAAATTTATGTATATTTGCAAATTGGATTTGGTCATTATATTAACAGAACAATGCTATTTGTAGAGCAAATATATGTACTTCATTATTTACCGTGTAAGATTTAAAAAATGTATATTTACAGAACATAGAAAATAAGAGGAAATATTTAAGACATTAGTATTATCCACGATTCCTTTATAACAAGGCAGGTTTTGTCCATACTTCTTGAGAAATGGCATTTCCTACAATAGTACCCACGAAGAATAAGACCTATTTTGCCAAGCGCTATGGAAACAGAATAATCTTGAAACCAGCCCTACCTCAAACAGTTTACAATCTAAGAAATGAGAGAAAGCAGATAGTAGGTGTTCGTTTAGTCTTTATGTCTTGCCTTGTATACTGGAACTGTAAAGAATTATATAAATTGTTGCTGGCTCTGATGCAGTTTTGTGATTTGCAGATTAAACTGAAACAGTAAGGATGGCTTCTGCCCTACTGTTCCAAGACATGTTTGAACCTACAGATCTGAATAAATCTGACAAACTCCTTTCTCACAAGGTCTTTTGACTTTCATGGTTTTGATTCAAACTTGGATGGAAGTAGAGAAGCTACAGATCTTCCAATTGCTTCCAAACCAAATTCTACATTAAATCAAGCTTCAGACTTTGATTCTGTTCCATAATTACTCTGAAAATTAGTACTATTTATTTGCCCTTAAATGTTCTGAAATCATTAAAATGCTCCCATTTTAACATTTGCTGGCAGTTCGCTTGTTTGTGAGATGTGGCAGTAGGGAGAATGCTGAAGAACTGAAATGGCTTTAAGGCCTTCAGGTGAGAGAATCAAGCCTCTATCTCTAATGTCTCTAAAGATTTGGTCTACAAAATTTGTTTTAAAATCTCATTTTAAAAAAACAACAACAACAAAAAAGAAACAAACGTGGGAGCAGTGATGTCTGTGTCTAGCATTTGTTTCTCATCAAGTGCTCAAAGTAAAGTATAGAGCTGGAAAGGGACCAAGCAGAGTTCCTCCAGCACTGTCTTTCAGATGCACATCATTTGTACCCCGTGCCTGTAGGTGTCACAGGTGGGTAGGGGGCTACTGGCAGAGGAAAGTGATCATTATAGAGATCGTGCAAAGAGAATGGGATAATTGAGAGGACTGGATTAACAGAAATGAAATTCAAAGGCCAAAAAAAAAAAGGTTATGAACAATGGACAAAAGTTCTACCCTAAGATCTGGCCTCTTTATCTAAAAACTGCTCAGAAGGAGAGCTACATGAGTACATTAATGGATACAAAATTATTCTGAGCTACTAAATTGCCATAACCAAAGAAAAAGAAATGCCTATGCATTCATAGGCTTATTGAAGACGCAGGAAGATTAATACCTTTAGTGCAGTGCACGTATTTGCAGTACTTCATATGAAATATTCTGTGATTTATGTTCAAGTAGCATAAATTCAAGCTCAGGAAGATGCTGGGATGAGCTGTCCAACACATGTTGGAGATGGAGAGCCTGTCATGTGGGAAGAAGGGACAGAGAGACCTTGGTCTGGTTTATCCACAAGTATGGGGACTTGTGTTAGCAAAGGTCTAGGAATGCCTCAAGGGGGAAAATAGCTATTGAAGTGAGAGACAATGGTGTCTTGAGAACACGGATATAATCTGGTCATAAGTAACTTTAGGATGGAAACTTGGATGTTTCCTCCTAATTAGGAAATTACGATAGAAGTCAGTTCCTGCTGTGAGTGTGGAAGTGAATTACTCTAGGTAGTTGTAATATAAACTTGGGTACTATAGGAAAAAAAGAATACGCATGAGGTTACTCATGTCAGTGCAGCTGCATAACTCAAATTAATGTCTCACATCTCAATACTCAGGATTGGCTTATTTAATGCAAAACTGAGTTTTTAAATGAAAGTAGTGTCTCAGCAACTGGACGGAAACGTTTTAAAGTTATCAATATATCCAACTCCCTTTGAATTCATGTAAGATATATACGTTAAAACACTGGGAGCTCAAGTTCTTGTTCCCCAGTTATTGATGTGAGCCACGCTATGATATGGAAGATGGAAAGACAAATTTTCAGTCAGTCATGAAAAAAGGCTGTGATATTATTTCTAATAACAGTGCTTTCCACCCCACCCCTCCCACCCTCCTTAAAGGACAGTAGCTTAGTTCTTTCCTACCCTGTGTTTACCAGCTGTGGAGTAAAGATCATCTGTGTATCTGTTGGTGTATAACAAAATTTAAGATTTATTCTTTACTTACCGAAGATGCCAAATATTTCTAAACAGCTGGTGAGCAGTTATTTTACTGAAAAATTAATTTTTTTGAATCACATTGACAGGAACTAAGATTTTTCTTTGCATTTGCCACTAAATCTTTGTGTCTGTGATCATTGAGCTAACAGCACCTGGTAAATTCCAGATGACTTTAAAATCTTTTCCATCTGTAGCTGTCTTTGATGCCTCAAAAGAACTAATTTATCCATTATGGACTAATTTCTTTACTGATAACCTAGTGAGAATGATGCAAAAATACTGTTTGAGCCCGCTCTTTTTCAAATGGATTTAGTGTCCTTTTTCTTTAGCATTCAGCTCTCCTTAAGGTCTGAGAGTACCTTTTTATGGTTCACAAGTTGTTGTTGTAATCAAGTTGGCTGCAGTCCCACAGTAAGCTGTGTGACTCAGTGACAGTTGCAATCAGTGCACCAGGAAAAAGACAAAGAACTGATACATTGGGAAGCTGCAGCCACGGATGAAAATATTTGGAGAGCTTTTCACAAAGTCTATTACTTGGAGAGCTTCAGATTAATCTGAGCTTTGAAGTGTTCAATATCATTATTAACTAATGCATGTAGCATCTAATGTTGCCAAGTTTTATATTTAACAAGCATTAAGTTTCAATTAGATACAATATTGTTAATTTCCCACAATAAAAAGTTGCACTACATTGCTGTGCACTGTAAGACTTCTATTCAGGAAATACCTAGATGTGTTTTAAGAGAGGCAGAAAGTTTTACTATTTAAAAGCCACAAGGTGGTTAAGGATGCTCTTAACTTGACTCATTTGCTTAATTCTCAGAAATATCAGTGAGATTTCAGTATGAGACAGAAAGGAAATACTTTGATTTTAACATTGTCATTTATCATTCCAGAGCCTGATGTGTTCTCAAGAAAACAAGAATTTTCATTTCTCAAGTACCCTGCCTAGGACTTGAAGAGTGCTTTGAAATCAGTGATGTTACTTCAACGGAAGGTATCTATCATTCTTTTGCCTATAAATGATAAAAATCCCCCAATACGGATCTCTTTTGTAGATCCTCTCTAATTACTGACAAGCATTTTGGTAGTATTTATCCCTTATAAGGATGATCAGAAATCTAGGGACTCTGTAGGGAGAGTTTAGGTAATCTAAGGTAAGATGTGGCCAATATTCAGCAATTATACCTGTTCTACCCTTTTTTTTGAAGAGAAATGTACAAAGCATCTGAGAACAAGGCAAATATATCCTGGATAGCTCCAACTTATGTAATAGCACTCCCACCTTCTCTGCCAGCAATTCATTGCTTCTTCATGAACAGCAATGTACTCAGAAATCACCCACAATCACACACATGAATGTAGTCCCACTCATTTGCACATTCCTACAGCA